GATAATTAGTGTACCCACTTAAAAGAATCACCCTGTATATACCTACGTTATTACTTATTTTACAGTAGGTACCTATAGTCAGTATGGAATCGTATTTTATTATAGGGACTATAAAATCATGATGATATGAGCATTGAATGAATACCTACAAAAATGAGAGTAGAAATGTAAGTAGTATCTACTAGTAATAACTAACGGATAAGCGTCAGACACAACGAGGATCGAAGATAATATAATATATTCTTAACTAATGTTTAGAAACAAAACCTACTTTTATGTAGATRATTATATCATAAATATTAAAGCCTTGAACCAAGGCCGTACCTAACTGAAAAAAGTTCAGGGAGATCTAACATAATTGTTGTACGAATACTGGGTACTTATTATTTTTACGTTCAAAATACAAAAACTATCGTTCAACTATTAATCATTTCGGAAGGGGGGAAGACTAGAAAATAGTAATGGAATGCGGATAGTGACTTATAAATTTAAATGTGGCAAGCCTTTTTAGAACAGACCAAAGATTCTATAATTGAAAATGCTCAACCATTATAGTGTGAAATGAGAAGGAATATTAACATGAATTTATACAAAATTTCGAAATGGTTAGAAGTAATTTAAAAAAAAATTAAATTAAATTACTAACCTAACCTAACTTAAGGAGGTTGAAGTACATTTTATCAGTTCCCTATAAAAAAAATCAAAATTGCGCCACTGACCGTAATCAATAATGCCCTATGACTAATGTATGACTTGGGTGATGATTAAAAAATAAACTTGTTCGTTTAATTTTAATTGAGCCAAGTTAATATCTATAKTATTTCCATATTAATCTTGAAAATTCTAGTTAATTTTGTAACTAAAGTCTATATAGACTATAAGTCAATATTAATTATTCAAGGCAATTGTGAACGTTTTCTAATGTAAAATAATTTTTATAACAACTTAACTAAATAGTAATTACATAAAATACACTAGAAAAGTAATATTCAAACATAAGGGCCAAAACTACAAAATGTTTAAACGAAAAAATAATTCTAAACAAAAACGGGCTGTCTGCAGGCTACCACAGATTATATAAATTATTAAATTATATTATATTATTTATATAATCTGTGATGATACTATAAGTAAATCCTATGATATTATTGTGATTGAAGTAATTTATATTATTTTTTTAAATTAATTTTTGCCAAAAAGAATTTCATTTGAAAATGCTATTGTTTGTATACTGTATATAATATTATAATATTAC